ATTTTTATTTTATTAGATTTCTTATTTTTATGACTTCAATTGTCTATCTTGAACACTTAATATGGAGTTTTGTGCTATTTTTTTTTATAATTTTTAGAAAACAGTTAAGTAAATTTGAATGACTAAGCGAATTATGAAGAAACTTCATTTTTATTCAACAAATTAAACCTTTAATATTATCCCAAACCCACTTGGTAAATTTAAAAATACTAAATTGAATTTATAAACAAAACGAACTTGAAGTGCTTTTAACAATGTCTTAAATCTATTAAGTGAAATTAAATTCGTTAGGTAGATAACAATATCATAATGCATACTTTGTCTAATACCTTTTTTTTTTAATTTAACTCAAATTGAATCTAAATATTACTCTTTAAATTATAAATCAATTATTTAAATCCAATTTAAGTACACTCATTACATTCATACAAAAAATTATTATTTTCAATATCATGACAATCAATTTATAAACTCATTCAATCTCAATTGAAAGCAACACACATACAATCACATAATTCAATTTATTGTAATGTAAGTCATCAGTGGCGAACCTATATATAGAAGAGTGTACTTGTGCATCCCCTGATTTTGTTAAAATTATTACTAAGTATCCGAAATTTTTTATTTTACTCCCTTAATCTTATATGTTTCAACTCGTTGGTCACTGTTTTAGATAGACTTGTGTGTACTTGAGAATATACATATACACCATTTAACTTAAAAAGGTAATAAATTACCCCATTGACTTAAGGTCTTAGATCCACCAGTATTGTAAGTAATGTGATCATGTCACCATGACACTTCAAACCTTTTAGCCTAAGGTATTATGAAAATTAAAATATAACTAACTTCCTTTACTTAAATTTTATAACTTCAAATTCCAAAAACTCCTAAACTCATAAGAAATCATATCCTACCTAAAAAAAACTTTAGTTAACAAAGAATATATGTCACAATATTACTAAACTAGTTAAGATTCATCTTTGTTAACAAAACTCACATGCATGTACTATGAGTCCTACATGCAAGTTCCTCAAAATTACATATAAATGCTTTGAAATTTTAATATGTTATAAATGCTCTCTTCTACTATAAGAGTATTAAGATATGCTCAAATCTAAAAAAAAAAAAATAAAAAATAAGGGAGAGAGTTGAACCATTAAAGAGAAGTAAAGAAAGAGAGTTACAAAGATATAATACTTGTGTGAAAATAAAATTTAAATGAGTAAGATTTTTTATTTCTAATTTTTTTAAGAAATAATTAATTTTTTATATCATTTATCAGAATAATATATATATATATATATATATATTAATATAAAATGAGTTTTTTTTTATATATTTTTAATTTATTTGAATTTTTTTATGGATAAAATTATGATAAAAATATTAAAAATTAAAATAAATAATATATATCAATAAAATGGTATTTTCTATCTTTTTTAATTTACTTTATTTTTTAAAATAAAATTATAATAAAAAAATTAAATATTAAAATAAATAATATATGAAATATAATAATTAATCTCAATGATAATAATATTCGATAAACTTGAAGTCAAAATAATAATGTTATCTACAAGGCAAGACCTACAGGAAAGATGGAATGTCACACTCCCAAGCAAGTCCAGACATTAAATAATAATAATAAAAAAAAGAGACTTTTTTGACAAAGAATAGGTCATGGTTCAAACCTTATGTTTTTATATTTAGGCTTGTTATGACCTATTTTATCCCTATCATAAAATTATAAAATCATAATTTTTAAAAATCAATTTGGTATCAAGATAGAATTAATTTAACATAGATTGTAGAAATTTTAGATAAATTTGTCATTAAGTTAAACAACAAAGCGTATTTGTAGGATGTTTTGCACATGGGTAATTAATAAATTTTCTTATATTAGAAACTAAATTTTCACGGGTTTACATATTTAAGAATCAAAATGATCATTAGCATATTTTTAATTAGTTAATCATAAATAAAGTTTACTTGATTTTTGAAACTAATTATTATAAAATTTCACAAACTCTGAAGATTATTTAAAGAAATATTTTATTCAGAAAATAGCAATTTGTTTTATTATTATATTATATTTGCAAAAGTTAATTACATGTTATATAAATACTATATATACGTATTTTTTCCAACACAAATTCATTAACTCCTAAAACAATATTTTTCTTTAATACTTTTTTCAGAATAATAAAAATCTTGGTTTTCAAGTTGCTATTTGTCAACGTGTGTGCTACTGTTGCCCCATGAATCCAAACTCAACATCTCACGTGAAAGTCGAAAATTGTCATTACCACAAACAGTTCCCATGCAAAAGCATTTGTTCGCCCATTATCTAATTATCCAAAAATTATACATTCTTGTTAATGAGCCGAACCTTCTAAACAATGTAGATCTTACTGGGAGTTGAGGGCATAGTGATTCTCAAATATTTGTAACTCGTGTGTAATTTATAATTTTGGTCTCAAACTTAATGAACATTTAATAAATGATTTATGATTTTATTCTCTCAGTCCTTCTTCAGTTTTGTAACTTTTATATAATTTATGATTTTGTCACCTTCAAACTTAATGATTATTTAATATATTTATGTATATATCTATAAATTTATTCTTTCACCATTTCATCTTCTTTTTATATTTATTTATTATTTATTAATAATATATTATTTGATCCCTCAAAGATCATTGATCAAGATCTGCCATTATCGCTACCTATACCAACCAAAAATACGATCTTCTTAGGATATATATTTTGGAGTGGTCGACGTTTCATTCTTTAAGCTTGGAGTTTGAGAAATATCTACAAGAATACTCGATAAATCATTAATCACTAATAAATCATATTTGAGTTGTGTTTGATTTAGAACTCATATAAATTACTCCATTTTTTTTATTTTATAATATTTATATTAATAATGATTGGTAATATAATTCAGAATTTTTTAAGATGTATATATATTTTAAAAAATTAATGATATCAAAATATAGAGAAATAGAATTTATAAAGGGAGAATCAACCTAGATAAATGAAAATTTTATTTTTTATTTTTATTATTTGTTTTTTAAGTAATATAATATTTTGAAATAATAATTTATCTTAATTATTATATAAAAAAATTCTTCAAGTAAATAATTTTCCTTTTTTTATTATATATAAAAATAATGAATTTCACTTACTTCATTTCCATGAATCTTGGTGTTGGTGTCCACTTTTTGAAAGTGTAGGTCAATTTGATTCCCGAATGGATCTAATTCAAATTGTAAGGAAAGTATTAAATGAGAAAGTTTAAAATTTATGAAAAATAAAATTCAAATTTAATTAACATTTTTTAAATTATAATGTAAAATTTATATATTTTATTATTTATTTATTAAAAAAATAAAGTTATTCTAAAACATTTTTTCTCTTTTTCTCTAAAATATCCTTTAATCCTAAACCCTATTATTATTATTTACTAATTCCCTAATTTTTAATTATTCGCATAAATTTTATTTTTAGTTATCTGTAATGTTTATTATTTTGAACATGATATAATGAGATGAAGGAAACGCATTATGTTTATAATTCACGATTTAAAATTAACTGGATGATTCTGTATTCAAAATTACACTACTTTTTAAGTTATAATTTTATATGGGAATGTAATTTACAGGAATATTGATAAAAAATTATTCTTAGACATGTTTTAAAATGTTTGATTATTTTTTGGTATTTCTATAATAGAGGTTAGAAAATAACTTCCTTTATCTCCATGTGAATATAACTTACAATGTAAATGAAATTTGTACAATTAAGAAGATTTAACTTTCAGAGGAATAAAACATACCTGAAAATATATTTTCTTTTATGATCTTCTAATAAACATTGGAATAAGCATGATTATTTTCATATTTTTGTTAATGTATTTTTTTTTTCGTGAAATTAACGCTTTCTTATAATACTTGAAAGACACAAAGAATAATTAAAAATATTTAATTTTATATTTTTGGCATTAAAAATTATTATTATTATAGTTTAAAGTTAGCTACCATAAAAATAACACATTAGTTATGTATTGACGATAGTTTTAAATTATCCGAAATGTAAAGTTCATTTACATTTACTATTTATTGTTTAAAAAGGAAAAATATCTTATTTTATTTAATAAATAAAAATATTTAGAAAACCATATCTACTTCTTTAAAGGATTTTTTTTTCATCTCTAATTATAAAGCACTATTTTGAATTTTTAAAACATTTATTTGTTTTAATCTATGAAAAATAAACATTACCCCCTTAGCCCCTCTTTATAAGATAATTTTTAAAAATATTTGTCTTTCCTTTTTATAAGACCCTTTGTAAATGAATGATGCATTAGTTTTTTTTTTCTTTTCTTTCTTTTTTTATAAAATACCTTCGATCAATTGACTTGCTTTTATAAAAAAAAATTGTGGAAATGGTAGGGATCAACACAAAAATATTTTATTTAATGAAGAATAATTTAATTATTTTTTTTAAAGAATGTGAGAAAATATTAAAAGGGGGTCATAAGGATGGTAGCATTTTTTTTATAAACATTAGATGATTGATGAATTGAATTTTAAAATTAAGATTTCCTTACAATTATTTTGTCTTCAATATGTTTAGCACTTATAACTTAATTAATTAATTATCGTAATAATTATAAATTAATTACCATGACATTTGTTATGTGGACCTTGTCTTAAGGAGTATTAGGTAAATATCATGGCAACGTATGAACATGGTAGGTAGTCAGTAGTTACCATCCCCAGTCAACGTGTGAACATTTCGTTTCGTACTTTTGACAATTTCTTGATTTCAGTTTTACCAGAGAAATAAAAGAGAGTTTATAACCTCGAAGATTCCTTCACCATGGCATCATACAGAAATTAAGAGAGAGAAAGAGGCACTGTCTGAGCACAGAAACAGCATTTTCATCACATTCGTTCCTAACCTTTTCCTAATTTCCCTCTGTTTGACGCATGCTTTCTGTGGCCACCTCCTATATTCTTCTTTCTCCCCATCTCTCTCAACTTCCTGTTTTGCCTCTTTTCTCTCCTTTTCAACTTCTCTTCACTTTTGATGCAAACTTCTCTCACCCTTCAAAACCTGTGACATTGAGCTATTGGCCCGAGTGAATTCATGCTGCAAGTTTCGATTGTTCAATTCTGGGTTACTTCCCCACGGTCTAAGGGTTGATTGTGGCATCTTTGCTGGTTTTGGGTATGTAGCTGTTGCTTGGATCCACGTGAGTGGGGCTTGCTTTTAGAGGTTTGTTGTTCATCATGTTGTTTGGTGTTTTTGGGTGGTTAAAGTTAGTGTTTTTGGAGGTAGGGTTTGAAGTCGTTGTGTTTTTACTGTAATTTCTCCAATTGGGTGTTGTGTAGTGGAGGATTTGGAATCTGGGTGTTGGAGATTTTGTTGATATTTTTTTTTCCTGGGGTGTTTGGATTCATGGAGACTCAATTAGAGGGGAAAAATCAGTATTTGTATGGACCTGTGGTGCCAGAGATGAAGAGTGTTGGGAAGAGAAGTTTGGAGTGGGATTTGAATGATTGGAAGTGGGATGGGGATCTTTTCACTGCTACGCAACTGAATTCAGTGTCATCAGATTGTATGAGTCGTCAGCTGTTTCCTACTGATCCTGAAATTCTTGCAACTGGTGAAGCTTCTAACAATTTGTCTTCTGCATATGACGATGTTAACCTTGCGGAAGGAAAGAGAGAATTGGAGAAGAGAAGGAGAGGTGTTATTAATGAAGGAGGAGTGGAGATGAATGATGGAGCTGGTTCTCTTAATTTGAACCTTGGGCGTCAAGTATACCCTATCATAGAAGGGGAGGAAAAAAGTGGAAAGAAGACAAAGATAACTGCGAGTACTTTGAACCGGGCTGTTTGTCAGGTGGAAGATTGTAGGGCTGATCTTAGTAATGCGAAGGATTATCACCGCCGCCACAAAGTTTGTGATATGCATTCTAAGGCTAGCAATGCACTAGTTGGAAATGTTATGCAGAGATTCTGTCAACAGTGTAGCAGGTCAGTTAGGTTATCAAATGATAGTTTATGGGGGAGCTCCTTTCATATTATTGTTTTGTTTCATCACATTAACTTTTTGGAACACATTCTAAAGAGAAAGTTGAACCATACGGGTTTGTGTAGGGTAAAGTTTTTAGTCGGATTAGGCCTCCTGTCACTTGCAGTTGATTGTTTGAAACCTGCAATATTTGCAGTTTTAGTTTCCTGAACCTTTTCTTTAGCACCCCAATTAGTACAATTTTTTAAAATTATGGCAGGTTTCATGTTCTTCAAGAATTTGATGAAGGGAAGAGAAGTTGTCGAAGGCGACTGGCCGGCCACAATAAGAGGAGGAGGAAAACACATCCTGATGCTAGTGTAGTTAATGACAACTCTCTGAATGAAGAAAAGGGCAGTAGCTATCTGTTAATGAGTTTGCTAAGGATACTGTCCAATATGCATTGTGAGTTTATGTGTGTTCACTTGGCAATCTTTGATTTATGTATTTGGCTGCTTATTGTCTTGTTTGGTATGTATATCTTCTACATGGGACAAAATATCTTCGTCATAATATTTTTTAAACAAGGTGGGAGCTTCTAGAGATGACACCTTGATGGTAGGCGTTAATTGATATCTTTGAACTTGTGATTTATGCTTTGATGCTGAAAATGTTGTATCATAAATAGATTTTTTAAAGATGTAAAATGAAATAAACTAATTATTATTTTCAAGAAATGGTACCTTGATATATAAGTTACAACTTTGAACTTCTGAGTTTGATGGGAATGGTAAGTCAAAAGACTAACCTTCTTGCGCTTTTGGGTGGATAATTCTCTGGAAATATTGCAAGGTGTCCCTCCTATGATGATTTTAAGTGGTTTAAGATCATAACTGAAATTTTAATGCCCTTATGCATAGCGAAGCTGATACATTTCAGTGAGCATTTACATAGATCATGTTATTGAGATTACAAAGGTTCACACTTAATTCCTATTCTAGGATTATTTTTTCAAGATATATATCTGTAGAAACTTCTCCTTTTCAATTGTTTGGGTGATATTCTCTTTCAAAAAATAGTAAAATGACTTGTTGTTCTTCATAGTTTAAGTTAAGGTGCAGTTCTTCTTTGAGTGGGTATAGATAATCTCTGGTGCACCATTTATGTACCTAATGGCAACTTTGGTTAGTCCCCTAATAATCCTCATACGAGGGCAAAGTCCACCATATGGACATAACATTTTTATGTTTTTTGAAGTCTCATTGCAAATCAATGGTAAATGCCTTAGGATTCATTTGGACAACAAAATTACTATTGATGTTTGGAATTATTTGAATTTTCTGATTGCATTGCTCAGTGAATTGAGTTTCCTATTACGGTTGGTACTATTTTGGGGTGTGGGCAAGGTCAAATGTATGCAACCTTACTTGCTTTGTGCCCAAGCACAATAAATTATAATCTGAGTTTAGCTCTAGTTTTCTTGTTTGATATATGAATTATGTTGTAAAGTGAATTTGGAATTAATTAATAATACTGTGAAGTAGATTGGATAGCAGGGGTGCTGGTAGCCAAGTAGTGGTGGCAAGCAATGGTGGCTGTTCAGATGATAGTTGTTGAAGTATTATACTTAGGTGGCTGGAGGTGTTATATGATACGTGTATAGGATGAAAATTGCAATTTTATTTATTCTTTTTTCTTGGATATGAAATTGTTGTTTAAGTTAAGAGTTGAGAAGGGCTGTAGATAATTGTTTGTGTTCCCTACAAATTATCATTCAGCATCTGAACTATAATTCTTAAATTGAAATGGATAACAAATATGAAATTTAGAACTGACCCCAATTTAATTTTAAGTACCAACGGGATTCTTTATATCGGTTGTCTCATTGATTGTTTTCCTAATTCAGGTAGCTGGAATTTAGTAGTAGTATTTGTACAAAAAGGCAAAAAAAATGTAACATAACGCTTGGTGTTAATAAAGTTCCTTTTTTTTCAATATGATTTGCTTTTATTTTTTTTTCCAGCATTGGCTCTCTGAGCTTGAATCTTCTTAGGGAGAATGGTCAAATTGGTCTTTAAAGTGTATGAAAGTTTCAATTTAGTCCTAGAATTTAAATAAATTAAAATAAAGTCCCTAAAAGTAACTTTTATCAATAATCATTTTCTGTTTCAAGTAAGTCCCTGCACCTTATCATTAAAGTGCAATGTAGTCATTTCTTGTTATGATAAAATACAATTTAATTTATATATGTAAGGATTAAATTTCATTTTAAAAATAATATGCAGGAACATGTTTGAAACAAAAAATTAAAAAAAGTTACTTTCAGATATTATTTCTTTATTTTTTAACATTTAAGGACTAACTAAAAAACTGTACACTTAAGGATCATCAAAAAGACCACTCAGCCATCTCTTTATTTTGTAGTAATCAAGGTTATCATTAGTGGATGGTGGCCTATGGTGGAAGCTATGATATGCAATATAAACCCTAAACCCTACCTAAACTAAAAGAAATTTAAAAAAAATACAGAACTTGATTATGGTTGCTTGACATTGACCTGTAAATGAAAAAAAATAATGATCAACATTATAGTTTGAATATAAAAATGGCATAGAACAACAACATGATTTCAAAATTCTAAAAAACAGAAGTAAATTCTTTATTTCTGATAGACAGAGAACTAAATTATGAATTTTGAAAAAACAGAGCACAAAAACATTGACCTGATGAAGAACAAGAACAGCGACATTGAGAATAAGAAGAGAGAAAAGAAAGAAAAGGGAAAAAGAGATGAGGAATATATAAAGAAATCAAGAACATATAAAAAAGAAGCCGATAGAATGAAAGAAATGGTAGGAAGAAGCAAAATACAAAACAAAGAGAAAAACCTGTTATTAGTCGCCAGATTTGTTCACTGGAAAAGCTTGCCAGAGCATAGGTGGTCACTGCAGTTCTGGTCACTGGCAAGGGTGGTGGCTGGAGAAGGTTCAACAGAGTTGGTTGGGCATGGTTTAGGATTTCACAAGAGTAGACAGGTGAAACCCTAGTTTTTACACTTTCGTAAGATTGACGAGAGAGAAAGAGCAAATACACATTTTTGAAATGGGGGGTTGACATGTTTTAACTGTGAAGGGTTTTTTAAAAACAAATATAAAAAGAAAAGGGGGGAGTTCCATCATGGATGCTGTGGCATACTGGTTGCCATGGTGGACAGCACCATACAACAGAAAATAATGGATGGCAAATGGCGAAGTGGTCCAAAAGTGCCACGTTATAGTGTTATGGTGCATTATTTAACAACATTGGTAGTGTAATTTAGCAGTACTGTAACTAGTGAGTTTAGATGCCTAGAATTCATGACTTGAAGGTGGATTACTAAAGTCTTCAGGGTAATTTTGTGCTGAATTGATATAGCTAATAGGGATAATTTGGGATGTGTTATGAATATCATGTATACCTGATTGTAGTGACAATTTAGTGATGCTAATGGGGGTTATTTAAATGAAGAGCTTGCTTAGTTTCCATGATGATTTAAGAGTCTGTTTTTTTTTTCCTGATGGTATTGAAAGCTTTCTTCACCTGTAGATTAATTCTACTCGAAATATAGGTGGTTGTCTTGAACAATTTAGCTCGACTCTTTTTCTCTCGTATGGACTTTCCATGTCCAAAAGGATGGGAAAATCATTTGGGTAATGAAAGTTAGCCTGGATTGATCATTAGAATAATGATGCACTGTGCTATCATTATCATTTCATTTTTATTTTGGTTTGCCTTCCATCATTTTCGGAATGTAAATACTGGATCACTAGAAAGTTGGAAGGCATAGCCTTCTAGGGAGTGTGTGTTCTGCTGACATATTTCTTTGAAAAGATGAAGGTTGCCTTCTGAGCCTATTCTAATTATGTATGCTATGTTGGATTTCATTATTGGCATACTTATTTGACTTGACTATTGTACCTTCTATAAATTGCAGCAAATGGCTCAGATAATATGAGAAACCAGGATGTTCTAACTCATCTGCTGAGGAACCTGGCAAGTATGGCTGGTACAATTAATGGAAGAAATTTAGTTTCTTTGTTGGAGGGATCTCAAGATTTGGTAAAAGCTGGGACATCTGGTGCTGCACAGAATGTTCCGAACACAAATTCAAATGGTCCTGAATCATCCAGACCTTTTGATTCTTCTATCAAAATGGATAATGGTCTAATCAGTCAGAACCCTCCAGAGTCTATGGTACAATGTGAGATGACTCCTGCCAATGATATGACTAAGAAATGTATCACCTCAGATTGTGATGGAAGAGGAAGTTTAAAATCTCCTTCAGTACCACAGTCCTCAAATGCAATTCTATCACGGGATAGCCTTCGACCCCAATCAGTTGCAGCAGAGACTGCTATTGGAAGAATTGGGTTAAGTAATATTGACCTGAATAATGCATATGATGATGATGTACAGGATTATGTTGGGAACACGAGGAATTCTCGTCCTCCTTTCCCTCCAGGGAATGCACCTCTTGATCATCCTTTATGGGTCCAATGTGACTCTCTCAAGTCAAGTCCACCGCAGACAAGTAGAAACTCTGATTCAACCTCTACACAGTCACCTTCAAGTTCTAGTGGAGAAGCTCAGGTATATTGTTTTAGTGATCGGAATTCTTTCCTTATTACTCTATAATATGATAATGTTCCTATTTCTTTTATATCTAAGAAGAGGTAAGTTGATTTATCATATAGACTATAGTCTACAATGCATGCTTGGATGGGTATATTATGTTCATTTTGGAAACAACCCTACTATTCATTTGTTTAGTTTTTGGTTTCAATTTGTTTATCAGGTAATCAAATATGCGTGTAGATTTCTCAGCCATTGCAAATCCTTGGAATTGATTACTTGATGTAAATTTTTTGAAGTTATGCTTTTATATTTGTCAACCTGTGTATAATATATTATGATTGATTCATTTCTTATTAATTGATGAAGTGATGTAAGTCAGTTCGATGTTGATAGTGTTTCTCCTCCACCTCAGTTTAACTTGACTTTTATGAGTGTAAACTTTGATTCTGGTGGCATTCAAGATTGTAAATGTTGGCATTTTATTTATATTTTCTGTTTACAGAGTCGCACAGATAGAATTGTTTTCAAACTGTTTGGCAAGGCTCCAAATGATTTCCCCCATGCTCTCCGATCACAGGTACTTTATCACTGCCTTGAAATTGGTATAAATAATTTCACTGCACTGTTTTGTGGTATGGTGTTCGAATTATGTTTTTCTGAGTGCAGATCCTTAACTGGTTATCCCACAGTCCCACTGAGATAGAGAGCTATATAAGGCCTGGCTGTGTCATACTAACTGTATATCTCCGTCTAGAAAATTCTGCTTGGGAAGAGGTATAAATTGATATAGTATCATATATAAGTTGCCTACTGAACCGGGTGAACAATCATAGAAAATCTAAATGTGCTTATTTGTTACTATTTCATAATGCAGCTATGCTATAATCTAGGATCCACCTTGAGAAAACTTGCTGGGTCGAATGATTCTTTCTGGAGAACAGGATGGATATATACAAGAGTGCAGCACTCTGTAGCTTTTCTGTATAATGGTTAGTTCTCTCTCACTGTGTGTTGTCTTCATGCTTATGTGTTTGTATTTCAATTACCACTAGATTCTTCTCTCATCTTGCTTAGTGACTACAACTATTTTATGTCATAAATCTCTCCTGCAGGTCAGGTGGTCTTAGATGTACCATTGCGCTTCAAAAGTCCACAGAGTTGTCAGATTTTTGGCGTTAAACCACTTGCTGTTTCTTCAAGTTCTAGTGCTCAATTTATTGTGAAAGGAGTCAACCTTTTGCTTTCTAACACCAGGTAAAATCTCTATATGCCTGATGATTCAAATTTGTTTAGTTGAGTCTTGGTAATGTTGTTAAGCGGCGGGTCCATGGCAGAATGACATGTTGGAATTTTCACCAACTGCTATAGACAATTTATTGAGGGAGGCCTGCTATCGTGGTGCTGTAGGCCACAATGGTGTTTTATGTAGTGGAATTTTGGTCTCCATGATGTTCTACCATCTGCCATTGACGACACTGGACTTATTTCAGTTATTATACTGCAGGGCATAATAAGTCTTTGGAAGAAATTAGGAAAAAGCAAAAACATGTAATTTTTTTGTTGCTTGTTGGAGATACTTCATAGGGAAATATGATAAGATAGGATTTTCAAAGAAAGTACAACTTCATATGGTTTTTCCTATGAAATCTTTTTCCAGGCACTGAAACTGTTTCAAAAATGGATGAGATGAGAGAGAGATACACACTACTTAAATGTCCAGGGTATAGTTTTTCCTTACTAGATTATCATTTGTGAGTTGTATTGTATGGTATATCCAATTTTCATTAACATTTTGTTATCTTTATACATAGTGTACAAGTGAAGTAAATGAATATATTATTTCATTGAAATAAAGTATTTATGACTAAATAATATTTAATACTTATATTTGAAGTAATTAACAGTATTTGAGAGAGTGTGTGTGTGTGTGTATAATGCATTTTAAATTGTGCTTCAAATATACAGGATAAAATAAAGTATGTATTAGATTTGATTAGATTAATTAGATCTTATCTAAACATCAAATAAACATTTTTGTCTTTTTGGTGTAGTTACTTATTGTTGATATTTAAAATCATGCGTGTGTATAAAAAAATCAATTATTTAAGGAATGTTATGATTTATTTGAAAACGTTCATCTTGTGTGCAGTAACTTCCTTATAAGTAATATGGATAGATTCGGGAAGCAAAGAAGATCTGTGCTCTGGATTTTGTTTGTTGCATTTGGAGAAGCTAATGCATTCCCCTTGATTTCAGGTTCCTCTGTGCACTTGAAGGGAAGTATCTAGTGCAAGATAGTTGTTATGATTTGATTGATGCTGATGCTGCCATTGCACATCATGAGCTTCAGCATCTCAGCTTCTCTTGCAATATACCAAATGTGACTGGAAGAGGGTTTATCGAGGTGGTGTCTACTCATACTCAGTTTTTTATGTTTGAAAAAAATATGTTTTTGCACTGGCCTTCTCTTCAGCAAAGTTTATGATGTAATTTTTTGTTTCTTCAATTTGAACTTCTGTAGCTTAGAATTAGATGATGCCTGCATTTGGTGGCTTTGCTTTAATAAACTTTGAAGGTCCTTTACAGTTCCAGGTTCTTGTAAACTATTGAAAACCATTCTATAAATGAGAGTGAGTCCTAAGTTTTGACATCACCCATTCCCCTTTTTCCTGTCCTGAGACATTGATTTAATATGCAATTATCTAGATTTTCCCTTGGCAAAACTAGACAAAACATGTAGGTGATTTGGATAAAAGATATTCTATTCTGCACAAATAGGATTTCTCTCTCGTGCTTTTAAAGCTACATTTTCATATCTGATATGATAATCTTTACACAGGTGGAAGATAATGGTCTTAGCAGCTGTTCCTTTCCATTCATAGTTGCAGAGCAAGAAATTTGTTCAGAGATATGTAAGCTCGAGAATGTCATTGAGGCAGCTGAGACTGCTGATGACATCCGAATAAAAACTAAACTAATGGAAGAAAAGACTCAAGCATTGTATTTCGTACAAGAAATGGGTTGGCTCCTTCACAGAAATCGTGTGAAAGATAGGCTAGGTCATGTGGCACCTGTACAAGATCGCTTCCATTTTAATCGGTTCATGTGGCTTGTTGGCTTCTCTTTGGACCATGACTGGTGTGCTGTGATGAAAAAGCTCTTGAACATTATCTTTGAGGGCACTGTTGATATAGGAAATCGTAGCTCTGTTGAGTTAGCATTGTCAGAGATGGATCTTCTGCACAAAGCTGTAGAAAGAAATTGCAGGCCTATGGTGGAACTACTGTTAAAATTTGAGCCAGGTAATGCTTCAGATCGTGGAGACAGTAAAGAGAAGCAAGTCAACAAGTCCCCTGACAGATTCATATTCAGACCTGATACCGTTGGGCCTACTGGGCTGACTCCCCTTCATGTTGCAGCAAGTATGCATGGTGCTGAGAATGTGTTGGATGCATTAACTGATGATCCAGGACTGGTAATTCCTTTCTCTTCTGTATGCATCACATATCTTCAGTTACTTTTTTAACTATTACAAACTCCAGGTTTTAGAATTTGGGTTTGGATCTGCTTAAGACAACTCCAAAAAGTTAACTCATAGGGTTAGTATTGCCCCTCATTCGTATAAACTATTTTGACCATATCGTAGTTAATGTGAAATCTCTAATAATTAGTATATGCCAAAGACCGGACATCTTGAGCGGAAATTTTGTTTAACTGGACATCTGTAAATGATCCAATCATAATCTGATAACTTGATAGGTCCAACTATCCTTAGGATAGACTTTGGTTACCATATTAAGGATCATCTTCATGTGATAAGGACTGACTAATGAGCTAAGGATCACCCTCATTCATATACACTATTAATTAGGGAACATTTGGGTAAACAACAGCACTTTTTCAATCAGGGTATGTCTCATGAGCTTATTTTTATAAGTTTCACCATGGAATTTACTGAAATGAGTTAAAAGAACTCATGGAAGGGTCATAAGCCACTTTTATGAGCTTCCAAATGCCTATTTAATGTTTATGATATGATATGATATGCTCATATACGCTCCAATCTTTTCCAAACACTCCTTTACTCTGTTAATACATAAAATCAATCTTCCCTCTCCGCATTTCACCTTCTTGATCAAGCTCCTCTGCAGGATTCATTTAACTCTATATTCTTAATTGAATTACATGTGGCAGGATGTAGTAGAAACTATTTCATTTCTTTGTTTTCCATGTTCAGGTTGGAACTGGGGCATGGAAAAGTGCTCAGGACACTACAGGTTTGACCCCCTATGACCATGCATCCCTGCGGGGCTACTACTCCTACATTCAACTTGTCCAGAGTAAAACAAGAAACACATGCAAAAGTGAATATGTGCTTGATATCCCAGGCACTCTTGTAGATAGTAACATAAAGCAGAAGCTATCAGATGGGCAGAGGTCATCAAAAGTTTCAAGTTTGCAAACTGAAAAGATTGAAACAACAGCAATGCCGCGACATTGTGGGCAATGCCAGCAGAAGCTGGCATATGGTGGTGCGAGAAGAGCAGTGGTTTATAGGCCAGCAATGCTGTCCATGGTGGCCATTGCAGCTGTGTGTGTCTGTGTGGCTTTGCTATTCAAAAGCTCGCCCAAAGTCTATTATGTATTCCAGCCCTTCAGTTGGGAATCATTGGAGTATGGTTCAATGTAATGTTGTACATCAGATATTCTTTGCAGTAGGCCTGCACTTTTGTTTTTTGAAGTGTGAAAGTCTTAGTTCTGGGTATATACATCTGTGATAGCTGCTGTTTCATCAAAAATATGTAGGGAAGGTTTACCTTCACTTCAGATGTTCAGCACAAAATGTTCACTATGCTATCTAATGTTAGGTAGATGGTGTTATTAGTTCATGTATATGCAAAGATTATAGGGAAAGCTCGAGGGCATTTAGGAGGGTACTTGTATCAATCAATAATTATATAAGTTTCACTACAGGTGAGTATACTCCTATGTAATCTTCATTTATTGATGCTATTCTGAAAATTATATAAGCAACTAGATGTAGTTGACTATTAAACAGATAATTATGTAACATGCAGGCCACCCTAGATTGAATCTTGGTGTCAGTGTGTAATTGTTGAATATTTTTTTCTATCTTGAACATTTTGAATTTGAATTCTTTCTCTCTTTTAAAAAAAAAAAAACTTTTCATTAGAGCTAATTGACAATATTTTGATATGCTATCGGATATTAAATCTTGACAACTTTTTAATGAAAGTTCAAACTTTGGTTGAGAATTAGTCCTTCCCACTAGAGCTAATTGACTTCTTATAATGAGAGAGATTATAATTTCAATCTCTTACAGTCAAAAATAATTTTATCAAAATTGGTAAAAAATTACAATATAACTTCCAAGCATCACAAGTTTTGGACGAAAGAGGTGTAGAAAAAAAAATATAGTAATGTTTTGACAGAGCATTGATGAAATGAGTTTCAAAAGTCATTTAATACCAAAAAAAAAAGAGGTTTTATTAGTGTAACATTTAATTAATAAATTTCATTTCACTCATTTTAAAAATATATAATTTTAAATATTATTTTATATCTAAATTTAATATTTAGCTATGATGTGATTTAATAATTTTTATATTTTAATTTAATATTTAATTATAAATTTCTAAGGTAAAAGAATTAATAAAAAAATTAAACTCACCTGTTTTTTTTATATTTAAATATATATATATATTAAATTTGTTATTTAATAAAAAAGTTATTGTAAAAATAAATTTACAATTTTTAAGATTTATACCTAACTAATCAATTATTAATATTCAGATACAAATAGATTAACTAAAAATATATTTAACCATAAAAATAAAAATTAATATAGTAATTAGATTCCATGTACTAAAACAGAATGCACAAAGTTGAAAGAGACAATTTTGCTTCCTCTGAGAGACTTCTCAGTTATCTGTCTGGTTTGTTTCCATAGCTTCAATGTTGCTCTCTCTTTCTTCTTCCATTCTTCCATCTCCCATTCCCCATACCAAATTTCCCACAACCCAAGGCCAGTTTTCTAGGGTCACCCGCTTCTCAGTTTCAGCTCCATCAAAAATCACTGTCTCTGCCTCTTCTACCCGAAGACCAGCTCCAACACCCAAAACCAGAAACCCAAAAGATAAGGAATTTTCCCAGACACTGTTCTTCGAGGTTACGGAGAAGAAACCCATCAAGAAGAAGAAAAGGAAGGAGAAAACGAAGAATGGTAAGATCTGGGTTCACACTCTCCCTGAAGTCTTATCCTATCACATTCACAAGAAGGACTGGATTATTGTCCTTGAGGTCAGTCGTCACCCTCTTGAGCTTCAAAAACTCCACCCTTTTTCTGTTTTGTTTTAGCATTTTGGCTGATAAACTATGATTTGTTATTGAATACTTGGATTTTGACATTCTTATTATGTCCAATTAATTGAGGGTATTTTGCTGTATGTTGATTTCATTTGGATGCTGCATTAGAATTTCACTACTACCCTTGATACTAGTTTTAAAAGTTCAAGAGTGATCCATGGATGTCTAGTTCTCCTAACACATAGAGAGAGTGAGAGAGAGAAGTGCACATATGAAAAATAGCTTAAAAAAATAGATGATGATAAAATAAGTTATTTATAAGCTGTTTGGACAGTTAGAAGTAAATCTTTGAGTACATGAGAGCATCTTCTTTTTTTATGAGTATTATACTCAAATCTCAATTAGTATTTTTAATTCACAGTTATTTGACATGCTTAAAGGCCAACCCTATTACCAACCCAGAAAAGATACTTACATGAAACTCATTGTGTTGCTCGGAAAATCCGGCCAACCCCATCGTGCCCATCAGCTTTTTAACTCTATACACGAAGATGGTTGTGAAAGTACTGAACTTTACACCGCCTTAATTGCAGCGTATTGTCAAAATAATTTGGTTGATGAGGCATTGTTGATTCTTGATGAGATGATGAAAATCCCCCATTGCCAGCCTGATATTTTAACTTACAGTACCTTGATGGAAGCTCTTGTCGGTGCTTTGAAGTTTGAAATGGTTGTGTTGGTGTATGATAAAATGGTTGAAAGGTCTATCATACCAAACACTCTCACCCAGAATCTCCTTCTGACTGGTTATGGTAAGGACGGGAAGTTTGATCAGATGGAGAAAGTAGTGTCAAGTATGATGGAGAGCACTACTTGCAAGCCTGATGTCTGGACAATGAACGCAGTGATCAGTGTCTTTCGTGATAAGGGTCAGATTGATATGATGGAGAAATGGTACGAGAAATTTTGTAGTTTTGGGATACAACCACAAAGGAGCACTTTTAATATTTTAATGGGAGCTTATTGTAAAAAAAGAATGTATGACAAAATGTCATCAGTTATGCAGTGTATGCGCAAGGAAAAATGTCCATGGACAACCCCAACTTATAACTTCGTGATTGAGGCATTTGCAGCAGTAGGTGATGCTGCAAACATGGAACGTGCATTTGATCAAATGGTTGCTGAGGGTTTGACAGCAGATACTAAGACTTTCTGCTGCCTTATCAATGGCTATGCTAATGCTGGTATCTTCTATAAAGTAATTAGCAGTGTTAGTTTGGCTGAGAAGTTTCAGATACATATGAATACTTCATTTTACAATGCAGTCATATCCGCCTGTGCCAATGAGGATTCTTTGATTGAAATGGAAAGATTTTTCGAGCGTATGAAAGAAAAAGAATGTCAACCAGATAACACAACATACTCTGTCATGATTGAGGCATACAGAAAAGCAAGTATGAACGACAAAATATACTATTTGATGCAGGAAAAACAGATGATGTTATCTGATGACAAAAACTTGAATGAGCCTCAGGAGACAATCTTTGGTTGATATGTGGTTTAGAAGTAAGACTGCTAATTCATCTGCCACCCCTCCATCCCTTTGAAGAAGCAGGTAGTTGTTTAAATTTGACATGAAAGAAGGAATCAGTTGGGTAGTCTTGCTTATTTTTTCATGATGAATGATAACTACTGCTTAACTTGATGTAAGTCTATAGTAAATATTGTTGGCATCATTCTGTGTTTTGATGCCGATAGATGTATGGTCAATTCAAAGGTACAATGGAATCTTGAGCACCTCAAAATCACAGTAATATTTTGGTGACATTGAAATTTCTTTTGAAAGCAGGCCTTTGACAGTGAATATCACTCAAAAGTTTTCTACTCATGGATTTCAGTTCACTTTTTTTCATCAGTAGAAAGCTATGAAATTTCTGCATTTTGATATATTTCTTTTTTCTTTGTGATGAATATAGTAGAAAATCTTGTATTGTTTATTAGGTTTTGGAATCCAAAAAAAGGCAAAATACTCCCTTGAATTGATAGATCGGATTAATATTTTTGTGTTACGTTGTTAATATGTAGTAATATTATAATTTAAATTATGAATATTTATAAATTAAGTTTTTATTATTAATTATAATTGAGTAATTTAATATGTAAATGTAGTAATTTTTTTACTGTATTCAATATTAAGTAAAAGTAACCAGTGAAGACTTACAGAAAATATTTATATAGTTAAAGATTTTTTTTCAAAATATAAAATTTCTTTTTTTACAAAAATAAAAAATTAACAGATGAACTTACCTTAATAGAGTCAAAAGCGAGCATATAGATTAATTTTGTCATCTTTAGTTTGGATTACACTTTTAAATAACCTAATTTTTTTACTTAATATAAAAAAACAAGAGAATTTTTATATCGAATATTTATTTTTAATATATTGTTTATATAAAAGAGATTATTTGTATAAAGAGATAAATATTTATTTTATATAAAAAATAATATAGAGACTTTGTTTTAATATATTGTTTATTGTTATGTAATAAATATAGACTATTTAATCTTTCTATTCATAGAAATTAAATAAATGTAAGGAAATTTATAACTCCATTACACTCATGGATAATATAAAATATTTAATTACTTAAACATATAACCAAGCTTTCATTATCTTTTTAAGTAGTGTCATTTTTATTTTAACACGATAAAACTAGATTAGCACTTGTAAACGTCATTTTGAAAAACTTAATAAAAAAAAATATTTCTAAAATATTTGATAACATGATTTTTTTTTTTTATGGATTCAAAGTTCACCAATAAATTGGAATGTTTTAATATCAATGTCTCAACTTCAAGATTTGAATTATAAAACGATGTGCTTAATTGATGAATAATATGATCATACTTTTTTTATAACTTTTAGTTTTGTATAGGCTTTACTTGTTGCAAATTTTATTGTGTTACCATTTTTATTAAAATTTTTATTTTGGTCCAAGGAATTACTCTTTCCGCAATTATTAGTAATCCAGTAAGGTAAAATCATACGATTTTTTTATAAAAGCATCAAAGACATGAATATTGTTACATTGTTTTATCATGAGTTATACTAAAAATATTATCTAAAATGGCTTTATGATAAGACGTAAATTTATCGTCATCTACTATTAATTTTCATTGTTCCCTTACTTTTATGGTAAATTTTTGTATTAATTGATAAAGTAAATTGTTTATCTCAATTTCTATAAATTTAAAAAAAAAATATAATAATTATATATCATATTAATTATTTAAATAATAAAAATATTTACTTCATAATTTCTAATATTTTAATTAGAGTAAATGCAAAGCCATTATTTATTAAAAATATATAGTTTGTTAGAGAAACTCTAAATCAATCTTTTACAATAGGTGCCCATATTTTCACGCGTCTCGATATCTTGAGAACTCATTTTAAACATCCGAACGACAATTGAATAAAAAAAATATTAAATATACGAGTGTTTATTCCTTCATTGTTCTCTTCACATAATTTCAATGTCTTGTTTTCTCCGATTCTCATTATGTTCTCACTTCACATCATTTCAATGTCTCGTTTTCTCCGATTCTCATTATGTTCTCATTGAACTTGCCCCTTCCTTTCTCGATCGACCTTATTCGCGCTTCGAACTTGCCGTGACGAGATCTTCTTGGGAGCTGAGGGGCCGTGACCCCAAACATAATGAACATTTAATATATTTACTTGTATATTTACAATTTTATCATCTCAGCCTTCCTCGGTTTTGTAACTTTCTTATAATTTATGATTTTGTTCCCTCAAACTTAATGATCATTTAATATATTTAAGTATATATCTAGAATTTTATCTTTTCACCATTTCATCTTCTTTCTTCTTTTTATATTTATTTATTATTTATTAATAATATATTATTTGACCCCCCAAGATCAATGTTTAAGATCCACCACTAGAACTTGCCCAACTTGCCCGTCGAACTCACTCACCACCGCATTGTACAAACTCGTCAGCAACATCGTGAACGTGGTTCCGTTGTCAACAACCACGCCGTCATCCCCTCTGCGGTTCACCCTCGGCAGCATATCTGGCACCGGGATAGTCCTCTCCCCTATGGATATCCCGACGAGTCCAATGCAGTAGAAATAAGGATGCTTCGGATTCCAAAGCATGGATTCCTATGGAGGTATAATTCCTTGTTTCTTAGGGTTGGATCCATAATTAAATTTAAATAATTACTTTATTCCTAAATTCACACTGCTATATCTTGTTCCTTTGCTACTCTTTCATAGTTCAATCGTCTTGAATGTTATATTGCAATGAAAAAGCTGAAGCAACACTTTCAGGTGCATTTTGGTACTCATATTTGTGTGTGAAGTATATTAAACTTTTAATTTGGCGTGAATATTTTTCAATTGGTGCGTTTGGATGTAGCAGAGAATCATGTAATATTTTTTGCACAAAAACCTGATAAGGTGTACTTTCTGATGTCGCCAAGAACCCAACTTTGGCAGATGTTGACATTGTCATCTGCTTTCAATTGGGTAGTGCCATGCGCATTTCTGTATTGAAATTGGATGGATCTACACTTGGTAATGTTCATTATGAATTATTAAATTTTCGTATTGGATATTGGGGTTGATATATGACTTTTTCTTACGGCATGTTCTTGACCCTTAATAATGAAAATGAGTATATGCTTTGACATAACTTTTATAATATTCATTGTTAGATGATACTCAAATTATTGTCATGAAATACTTATATGCATGTGTTGGACCTGTAGTAAACATCATTATAGTAAATAAATTCTATATTATGAACTCAAATTAAATAGGATTACAAGTATTTGCAATTTGAAATGGAAAAACATGGATCTTCAAATGTTAAGAAGGTGAATATTGTATCTATTTGTATAATATTGGATATTGTTGATGATAATTATAATTATTTATTATGATTTTCAGGTATATTTGCGACATGTTTATAGAACTAATTATTTAGGTGAAGTGAATAACATTCTTACAACATAACAAAGAGATCGTATTGAGTCAACACCATTTAAATGGTTGATGTCATTGGGTAGAAAGGTAAAAATTAGTAGAACATTGTTTAGTGAATTAATAAGTAAATAGATTGAAAAGAGAGGAGGATTTAATAGAAGGTCTGAGATAGTATGTTTTACACTGTTAGATATGTATTTAGGTTTAGGATTTCGTGTAGTAGACGAAAATGTCAAAATTATAGAAGCAGATATTGATTGTCATACTAGGAGACTATTTACTAGGGAACATGTTACTTTGGAAATAATTTTTAATGAACTTGTTAAAAGTCAAAATGACAAGGATGTGGATGACTTTTGTAGGTTGTACATACTTTTAGGTTTGTCAGAGTTTTTATTCCCAAATAAACTAGGTACTACACATTCTGGGTTTTTTAAGTTAATAGATAATATATTTTGTCTTGGAAAATATAATTGGGGAAAAGCAGTGTATGAATATCTGGTTGGAAGTTTATGTGAAACATCAATTTATTTGAAGTAACGAAGAAATTTTTTCACACTTGCATGTACTAGGATGTGTGTTTTTGTTACAGGTAAATCCTAAATTACAATGTATGTTTTGTTAGAATACTTTTAATATAGTCATCTGATTTGATATTGTGCATTTTGTTGATATTAAGTTAGATATGGGCTATGGAGCATCTACTTTATAATACCAAATCATGTAATGAGATAAGTCGATTTCCGAGATTTTTACAATGGACCTCAGTTGTAATTGGGGAAATTAAGATTGTAGTTGTGTTTAATCATAATAGGGTTAGTTCATTAAAAATTTAATAGAACTTGTTTACAAGATTACTTTACCATATGTGAAAATGTGATTTCAATTTGTTATTGTTTGTTATTCATAGGTTATTCATGACTTGGGCATCAGAAATGAAGAGCTTACTCATGATATAATGAAAGAAGTGTTAGCATATACCACTCATGCATCTGAAGAATTGAAAAATTGTACTGATATGTAGTGTGAAATTATTGTTGAGAATCAATTGTTGATTGTCCTAACCAAACAACAAGAATCAACAACTGAAAAACTAGAGGAGGATGTAATACAATTACACGAAATGTTAGATGAAACAAAACTATCAACAAAAGAAGTAAATCCTCCATCATCTGGGATATACTTTTCTCCTGTATTTGAAGATAGTAGTATTAAAGAGATGAAGCATCATACTGAAGCAACAAAAGAAAAAAATTTGCATTGTGAATGGTCAAATACGTATACGCGACTTAAAGCTCATCCAAGAATAAGGTATAAAAGTTTTATGGTCAAAACACCGTGGACGACTAATTTAAGGGAAAAAAACACAACCCAAGAATCCTATTATTTACAGGTGTCCTCGCTCAAGCGATGCATTTTTCGCTTGAGCAAGTGTTGACCACAGACTAAAGGTCCAACACAATTAACCACATAATATAACCTAGGTCACCACTTATTTCAATAATGTGTCGATCGAGCGAGTACCGCATCGTTTGAGCGAAATACAACCCGAGAATTCCCATCATTTGGAGATCTCCTCGCTCAAGCGATGGATTTGTCACTTGAGCGAAAGTTAACCACAAACTAAAGGTCCAAAGCAGTTAGCCACATAATATAACTTGGGTCAACACATAGTTGAATCACTTATTGCTCGAGCGAAACAAAACCCAAGAATCCTAATTATTTGCAGGTGTCCTTGTTCAAGCGATGTATTTTTCGCTTGAACGAGGGTTGATCACATACTAAAGGCTGAACACAGTTAGCCACATAAAAAATTTGGGTCACCATATATTTCAATCATTTGTCGCTCGAGCGAGATTTTCTTCGCTTGAACGAAATATAACCCGAGAATACCCAACACAGATGAAATGATCAATTATTTTAGATTATAATCGATTATAAGTTGTGATGATCGAGTATAATTGCAAAATAATCGATCATATTTGTTTCTAATCGATTGTATTTGAAAATAATCGATTATAATTTGAAGTAATATGTCATAATTAAAAATAATTGACAATAAAGTCGCTTGAGCATACCTTACGTGTAAATAAAAGGGAAATTCAGTCAGTCCGACAGTTACCTCTTTCACTTGTGCGGGATAGTAGCACTGACGTTGAAGACATTTGTTGATTTGTGACCTTCTTCTCACCATCAATCTCCTCCATTATCATTATCTATCAGAAATCCTTTTCTTCACCTGCATTTTGACGGTTCAAGTAAGTGCATTCTTCTCATTCTGTTCCTGTAGTGAATTGTTCATGCAAAATTGTTGGGGTTCATGTTAATCCACACTTTTCATTCATTTTTTCCTGAATACTTGGTTCGTTATCTGTTTAATTTGTAAATTGTATGTTATGAAAGTGTTTTTCCATTTGTTGGGATACATTATTAAATGATGGTCACCAACTATTTGATGAAATGCCACAATGGATAGGGTTCAGTTTTTGCTACATACAATAGGCACTTTCGTGGCTAACTTTTAGGTTAAGCTTTGTAATACGGTTCATAATGCCTCCTAAACTTGTCTTTGATTTTGTATCTTTGCATGATGTAAGTAGGTAAACTAGTTTATTATAATATGAATATAATTTAAAAGAAATGGTTGCATGCATCACCACATTGAATGACCATAGGTGGTTGGGTCTGCAACACATCAATGTGTTGGTGAAGACATTGCATTTGCCTCATACACCATCCTGCTTACTGCATCTCCTCTCTGATGCTCTGGTAATTCGTATAACACAGACCAAGTAGTAGTTAATATGTAAATTTCCGTTCACTATATTCATTATAGTACGAATTCATTATAGTAGAAATACATTGATAACATTCATGTCACTTTTACTAGTTATTTTGCTAACAGTATTATATCATATGCTTCAACAGTATCTTCCCTTCTTTTTTCTTTATTCTGTTTCTTCTTCTTCTTTTGTCCTATATTACATCATCTAAATTATATTAGTGACTGTTCTTCCTTTTTGCAGAAACTTTTTTAGTAGTTTTAAAGATATTCAAATTATCTTGTGTTAAACTTTTCAACAAACAAGTGTTGCTGATGGGACTAAGAAAGGACAAACAAGTAGCTACCTCTTCCAGAGGTCGTGGGAAAAGATTTTGAAGGGGTGAATCATCTGCCGTTTTCAACAGGAACATCTTCAGAGATGAGCATACCCAGCAAAGGTATGAGATGATGCAAGGTTGGAACTTCAACGCTGAACGACGAGTGGAGCTGAAAGAAGGGGAATATATTGAATTTAATGATGAGATTACACGAAGGAATTGGAGGAGGCTTGTAGAACCACAGTCGAAGTTTGATGCTGATGTAGTTAAGGAATTTTATGTCAATGCTTGGCCTTCTGAAGAAGGATGTCACAAAAAAATGTCAAAGGTTAGGGGAAAGTGGATATCCTATGACTGGGACACAATAAATGAATTTCTTGGGAACCCCATGAAATTGGATGAAGGTGAGGTATGTACATATGAAAGGATACGCAGAGCCAGGGGCATAACAGAAAGAAAATGATGAATTAGCCTAACGTTTGTGTATTCCAGGGAGGACCTACGAGACAAATCATGCTGGTAAACCATTGAGAATCCTGCGGCCAAAAATGACCACAATAACACAAATCTAGACTTCTTTTTTGTTAGCGAGCATTGTACCCCTGAAACACAGCTCTGATCTTAATATGACGAGATGTTACATGGTTTACTGCATTTTGGATGGATATTCCCTTGATGTGGCAGACTTAATTTCTAAGGAGATCCACCAATTTGTCATGCAGGAAAGCGGAAGACAAACTGGACAAGCAAAGGCTTTGGGTTTTCCTTCCTTAATCACAGCCCTGTGTGCAGCAAATGGGGTAGATGTCAACCCTCAGTCAAAATCAGACCACCTATTAATATGAAATTCATTGATAAATATTGCGTAAATCGCCTTGAGCAGCAAGTACAGACACCCCATCCCCAACCACATCGTACAATTGAACGAAGGGAAGCCTCCTCCTCTCAACCACAACCACAATCTAACTTAACTGAATACATGCGATGATTGGAGCTGCACATGACACATGTTCAAAGTCAACAAGCTGCCATTCATAGGGGTCAGGTCAGTTTGAACGAAAGTTTCCACAGATATTCTATAAGCACTCATAATTCGGTACCTTGGCCTAACGTAGATGAGTTTCGTGCACTTGTGTAATGGTTTGGGGACCACCCTGATTTTTCACAAAAAGGTGAAGTTGAACCATCAGATGAAAGAGAAGATACAAGCATGTCTTCCGTAGATGATGATGATAATGATGAAAATGTGACCCACTCTGAAGGAAGTGGTGAAGATTGACCACTGGAAGAAGGTTGAAGCTGTGAGAATTAAGTGCTTGGGTGTGCCAACCCTCGACATGGACAATGTTTGCTTCCACCTTGAGGTCCATATTGTTGTTTTGCACCTTTAAAGGATGGATCATTCTTCTTCAAACTCTCTGAATGCATTTCTTTTCCCCTGATGTGTGTATTGTTGTTTCCACAGGACAAGTCATATGGGAAAGTTATCTACTGCAACATTAATATACTGCTTCTGTACAGAGGACGGAATTATGATCCCAAGAACCGTCCAATTATTCCTCTCATGTTGTGGAAGCCTTGTACACCAATATATCCTAAGCTTGTGAAGAATGTAAACGAGGGTTTGACATATGAGGAAACAAAAGAAATGAGAAACATCGGATTGAACTCAGATCCTCTCATGAAACTCAGTAAGTGAATTTGGGTAGTAGGGCTCATTACAGATTGCGTTTTGGTCCTAATCAGGCTTAAAGTAGCATTGGTCGGTACATATGCTAATTTGTGATTTCAATATTCAGCTAGAAATGGTGTGTATGTGAATGTGGTGGAGAGGTTGAGGGAGACTTTTAAGACTCAGGAGGTTGTTAGACTGGACTGTCAATAGAATCATTACAAAATTCACTGTTTCCTTTTTTTCTGTCTTTATGTTGAAGATCAAAATTGCATGTGGAGATTAAGAGGGTTCTTATTATTGCAGGATTTAGTGCCATGTGTTCCTATCTTGTTTAAGAATGAGCAGATAGTCCTCTGGAGAGGAAAGTTGAATGAAGAGCACCCTTCAGATTCACATGTCAGCAAGTAATACAAAGTTTATCTTCATTGTTAATTGCAATTACACTAAGGCATCGTTTCTTTGACTGAAGGGTTTGGTTTAGAATGAGATTTTTAGTCACATTTGTGTTAATCAAAGTCCCATGTCTGCAGGGGGAAATGCACTGATTCACGACTGAAATCCCCAAATCAACTGCAACATCTTTGAAAACCAGATGGAAAAGTAGAAATCATGTCTGCCTGTAAGTGTAAGCTACAACAGTGTCAGATTCTCAGTAAATGTGAAAAAACACATGAGATACGGAACCAAACATGCCATTGCTAGTTGCCTCACTCATGTCATGAAGGTTTTCTGACTTTGTGTACTTCATCGTTTTTATACGTGACATTTGATTATTGTTAAAACGATCAATTTGATTGTTGAAAAGATATATAAGTTTTATTTAATCTAAAACTTAAATAAATTATAATAAATTTTTTTGAAATTAACTTTCATTTCTTATATTTTATCATTAAAATATAATTTAATCTTTATATATACCCTGTTAATATTCTTATAATTTACTTTTATCTTTTATTTTTATCCTTGATTTCTATAAATCTTAACTTTCATTTCTTATATATTAGCAGCGTATTCCGACAAATGATTATGCTTGGCAGTAAAATGTTTGCGTTTAAAAATGGATAAAGAAGAAGAACTAAATGTGATGAGACACTACCATATTATCATATTTATGTTTCAGTTATAGAGATAAAATAAGGAACATAGATTGAAATCTATTTTTCATTAATTTAAAGCACATTATTTGTATCTAATAATATTTCTCCTTAAAATAATCATGAATATATTTAAAAAGGTTTCCTGATAAATACTTTAAGAAAAAAAATAAGATTAAAAATAAAATGAGTTTTTTATTTAGACTAAAATAATTAATGCATAAATAATAGAAAAAAAAAGAATTTAAAGAACCTACATAAAAAGTTTAAACAGATTTACTTATGCTCAAATCAATTTTATTTTATGAAGAAAATTACTTTTTTTCTTAATTTTAGTGCATAATTAATATTAAGACACCCTTCTAAACAAGCAGAAATTTGTTACTTAATAAGGTGAAATAAAACATAAATGAAAAAAATGACAAAGTTTAAAAATATAGATCGTTACAGTGTTTGTGGTAAATTTGACTTGTGCTTTTGGTTACCATGCACATAATAAACCAAACACGTGTAAAAAAATCACTATACTCTTCACTCATAACATAAGCTAACCTTTTCTAAAAGGAATAAAAACAAAGCCAAGGTAATTGTTTCAGCCATAATTCTCTGCAAACAAAAACGAATCCGAACATTGAGAGCAACAATTCTTGCATTCAAAGCTAACAGAGGCACGCTTTCTTTCCAATATATCATCATCCAATCCAACTTTATACTCTAAATAATTACAAGATTCTAAAACTTAAAACAAATCTTAGAGCTTTGACCAACCCTGAAAAGAAGACTTTCCCATGAAGCAAGAATTTATGGTCTCATCTACCGACCAAATGGGATACGAATGTAGACCCAAATACCGTGTCTAAAAATTTAGTCTGGATTCCAACATAATATTAATTTGTTTCTCAAATAAGTTTCATACATCCATCATATCAACTTTAGATCAATTTCAGAGTTTCCTGCTATTAGACAGTACAATTTGCAGAATATTCAAAATTTTATGATCTCAATACAAACTCATCCCAAATCTAATTTCTTTTACTAGACATACTTCGATGAGTTTCTAGATAAACACTTGTAAAAGATAGAAAAATAAAATGAAAACTAACCTTTTTTATAACTTATATATAAACATTTTCTTTTACAATATATATAAACATTTTCTTTTACAATTTTTTCAATTTTTTACTAATTGTAATTTATAAAAATATTTACTTCATTTTATTTTTCCTCTAAAACAAGTTATGAAAAAATCCATCCAAACTATAACTATCATATTTGTGATAGAAAGTACAAATAGTTCATCATGACATGTTTACCTGCCTGATCAATAGAAATGTTTTCGACCCTTTATTGACGAAAAAAAAAAAAAGGGAGGGTTTCTTTGATATGTCACTTACTATCAGTGCAAATATGATGTCACAACAGAGTCCATTCCATTCCCTTCTACCTTTCAGTCTCATGCAAAAAACATAAAGCTTCTTGCTGTCTCTGAATAAAAATTCAGAAGAGAATATGTAGAAGGCACACAAAAAAGAGTCACACATCTATTCTACCATTACATGACAAATCATCTCAAATGTTAATCTTTGTCATCGTGAGTGTGAGAGGTAACTTTTTACAAATTCTAATTACAAAAGCAAAATTACTGCTAAAAAACCAGCTAATGAAAAGAATAATGAAATTCTGGCACCAGAATGAGGATGTGAACCCGATGAAGTCAATTCCACAATCAAAAGCAACAACAATGCACCTTAACCATATGTGTAACCAACAAAAACTCAACCAGAGCCTTTCCTTGGCTTTGCTTCCCAACATCTTTGAAATAAGCTCTTCCAGTATGTACAGTAGTGCCCTTTCATGGATTCAAACTAGCATGGCTAAAGAAGTCTGTGCTATAATTTTGACTACCAAATGCCATCCTACGGAATAATCTTATTTCTTCAGATTGCTGTGCAGAGTCAAACACTTCGCTTTCCCCAAGTCTCATTCCATTGGTTAGATCAGTACCTCCTAAGCTATCAAAAGCTCTAACAACCTATGAGACATAACAATTCAGGAAAACCATGTTAGTAGTTTGTTGACATAACCAAATAGAACATTTTGCCACTTTTCCAATATCCAATATTTACCTGTCCCATGCGAGGTCTCTTTGAAGCTGAATGCCGCACACAAGCAGCAGCAACCTCAATCATGCAATACAATTCACTCTCAACATAATTCTTTTCTAGCCTTGGATCTGCCAAACTAATCAATTCCTCACTATCGATTGCATGACTCAGCAAAGGCCGAGCCTGAAAAATAAAGTAGCATATTAGCATTTTTAAAGGAAAACTAGACTTGAAAACATTCAAGGATGATTTAAGTGAATATGTTTATAAGTTTAGACAGTTTCTGGCTGTTAAACTTGTATAATTTTATGTTCTTTTTCAAAAGTAGAAGAATAATAGCAAACCCATGTCCAGTGGCATTAGTTCTTCATCTTTCTTCACCATACGAAAGTTCCCATAAAGTTTCAGAGACAAAGATATGAACAAAATTATGCATGCTAAATTCAGCCAAAACATTCCACAATTTTAGCTTGATTGCAACCATAGCTATTCTATAGGGCTTGCAAAATAGTAAGATTTTGTCATCCTTATCATATACTTAAGTTACCATGAAAAATGATACAATCTCCAAAGGGAGGAAAAGCGATATCAATATATAGATTTTAATCCCAAACATATGTTTGAATAGACACTAATATTAGGCTGATCTAACACAAGATTAGCAAAATTATAGCAACACTAGAAAAAGAGTGATAAAAGCAAGATTAGCATCTATATATACCCATTCAACCAAGCTTTCATCTCCCAAAGGTTGGGATACATCCACTGGTTTTCGCCCAGTAATTAGCTCCAAAAGCACGACTCCAAAAGAATATACGTCAGACTTCTCAGTCAATTTGCCACTTGAAGTATATTCGGGGGCAACATACCTTTTATGAGGGTGGAAATACATGTTAATACAGTTTTTTACACTATATAGTCTGAATGGAAAATGAAAGAGTGCATAAGAAAAAAACAGAAGTTTGGAGACATATTAATGAATGCTCACCCAAAAGTTCCCATAACTCGTGTGGTAATATGCGTATTTGCATCCAGAGCTAATTTGGCTAGCCCAAAATCTGAGACCTAACATTAAAATTTCGAGTGCTAAGATTTGGATGGATATAAATAGAACAACTATCAAACTTTGAATAAGTAGAATGACAGATACCTTTGCTTCACAATTGAAATCTAAAAGAATGTTTGACGACTTGATATCCCTGTGAATGATCCGAGGGTTGCCTGAAATGTGCATGAAATTCGGTAGGATTAATAATGATACAACATCTCTAACCATACCCTACTAGATGAGTCAGCTACCTGCATCAGTTGATTCCATTACTAGTAATACTGATCCATCACAAGATTTTTGGTTGGGTGCACAGTACCTAACTCAGTCTTCTATTTTGTCCAGTCTAGTTTATGATAAATTAGAGTTTTGGTATCTATCATTAGAAAACCCCATGTTTGATTATGTAGTCCCCCTTTTTGTCAATTATCATTAAAGAAAGCTAATAAGAAATATATTCTACAGTTTAATTTATACATAATCTAGTTTTTGTTTTGGAGAGGTTAAATTCATTTTTCTCTTATTTTTCTTTCCTAGATATGTTTATGGAGAAGTTTCACCTAACAGACCCTTAATGAAGTAAATTGAATTTTATATTTTCTATGGCCTATGGATATTCACTACAGTATCGTGTATTTAAAAGGAGATTGTGTAGTGGTTGAAGCTGCCTTTAGGGAAGGTATATATAGAGGCCTTACCCTCATAAGTGGAGAGGCTGTTTTCAGGATTTGATGCCATGAACTCTAGGTCAAACCCTTCAGTCAAAGAAACGGTGCCTTAGTGTAATTGCAAATAACAATGAAGATAAACTTTGTATTACTTGCTGACATGTGAATCTGAAGGGTGCTCTTCATTCAACTTTCCTTTCCAGAGGATTATCTGCTCATCCTTAAACAAGATAGGAACACATGGCACTAAATCCTGCGATAATAAGAACCCTCTTAATCTCCACATGCAATTTTGATCTTCAACATAAAGACAGAAAAAAAGGAAACAGTGAATTTTGTAATGATTCTATAGACAATTAGACATTAGACATACCCTTAGCTTCACTCCAATCTTTTTGCAGTCACTGGTTCCCACATGGGTACAGTCCAGTCTAACAACCTCCTGAGTCTTAAAAGCCTCCCTCAACCTCTCCACCACATTCACATACACACCATTTCTAGCTGAATATTGAAATCACAAATTAGCATATGTACCAACCAATGCTACTTTAAGCCTGATTAGGACCAAAACGCAATCTGTGATGAGCCCTACTACCCAAATTCACTTACTGAGTTTCATGAGAGGATCTGAGTTCAATCCGATGTTTCTCATTTCTTTTGTTTCCTCATATGTCAAACCCTCGTTTACATTCTTCACAAGCTTAGGATATATTGGTGCATAAGGCTTCCACAGCATAAGAGGAATAACTGGACGGTTCTTGGGATCATAATTTCGTCCTCTGTACAGAAGCAGTATATTAATGTTGCAGTAGATAACTTTCCCATATGACTTGTCCTGTGGAAACAACAATACACACATCAGGGGAAAAGAAATGCATTCAGAGAGTTTGAAGAAGAATGATCCATCCTTTAAAGGTGCAAAACAACAATATGGACCTCAAGGTGGAAGCAAACATTGTCCATGTCGAGGGTTGGCACACCCAAGCACTTTATTCTCACAGCTTCAGCCTTCTTCCAGTGGTTATGGATGTCATCCAACATGTTGTGAGTGACTCCACCCTTTCCTAGCACAACACATACCACCTCATTGATTTATATACATAAATTATCTTCTCTAACTGCTCTTTAGATAGAAGAGTGAAGAGTTAAAACACTCAGGTAGCGTTTGACCTAGATTTTTTTTATGTTCATAAACTATTTAAGGTTGAAGTTAAACATTTACGTAAAAGTTCTTCCTCCTCGTCATTCTTTTACTCTCCTCCATTATCACTCAAACCCAATAACCCTGACTACCAACGTCATTAACATGGTGCAACCACAAATCTGGTATACTTATTATTTAAAACTACCACAAATCAAATATGAAGTTTTTTTCTGGATTTTATGTTGACAGCTTTGTAATTTAGTACAGATTTACATATAATTTTAAAGTTCAACACAACTGATACAAAAAAAAAAAAAGTTTCCACATCACAATTTTAGCCATTAATAAAAACAACAGCTAAATTCCATATTTTTCTATCAGTATCAAATGAACTTTATCATATTTTTGAACTTTTTCATATGAACTTTTTCAACTCATTAT